TGCATTGTGTTCATACATGTGGATATACATACTTAAGGATCCACAAAATTGTAAAGTTTAAAAAATATATAAAATTGAAATATGAAAATAGAATTCATGGAAGCAAAAAAAATGTGTGTTGTTTTCACATCCTAGAGATGCCTTCCATAGGTTTCATTATCATGTGTGAGGGAAGAATAACCCCACCTGTCTGGCTGTGGCAGTGTGTCACTTTATGAAGACAATTTTTCTTTTTCCTATCCTGCTTTTCTCTCTGTCTCTCACTTCTTTTTTGATGCTAGACATACCCAATGTATATAAAGTATTTAAAATAGTTTCATTTGGAATACTTGAAGCTTACGACTGCACTGGAAATTATTGTGTTACATTAATCCCTATTGATACTCAAGCCAGTTCTTTCAGGCAAAACAAATATGTATAGCGGTGTCTAAATATTTTACAGTTTAAATCAATATTTTTGAACAATTTTATTTCCAAATCACTTTAAAAATTAGTATATGGCTAAAAAATTGCTTTTAAAAATTCTTTGTGTGACTGCTGTTGTTTGAATAAATAGAATCCGGGCTAGGGAAGCCACATTCTGTCACTAACTTTATTTCCTTGGGTTCATCTTCTAACCTTGCTGATTTTCAGTTTCCCGACCTGAAAAAATGAAGTATCATAGTTTAATGGGAGGATTAAATATGGCAATAAATGTAAAAACAATTTCTGCAAAATATAAACATTCTTTTATAGCTATGAAGTGTAATTTTGTTAATTTTACTTTAGTCCTAAAATAACTAATGACCCTTTTAATGTGAGTACCCTGCTTTTATTATCCTTTAACTAGATCAAACCTCCAATAATCTCCACCAAAGATTTTTCTTTGTCCTATGACAATTTGGATTAAATTGTCAATTTAAAATGATTACACATTAGAAAATATGAAGACAAGAGATATCCTAATACTTAAGAATAATAGGATTTAAAAAAATTCTTTGATATTAAATGAACTTAATAAGTGCCCTGAAGGCAAATGCATCTTTTAAACTAATTATCTGTACTGTGTATTCTATTTAATATTAAAAAGATACTGATTAAATAAAATCAATCACATTCCTCTGTAGTCACACCTCACATTGGATTAAATAAAAATATACAGTTTCTGTATTAATTCTGATTAAAAATATATTACATTTAGAATCATGCACTCACGATAATTTTCAAAAAACGAAAACATTTACTCTGCTCATTCTTGATACTTAAAAATTATGTCTAAGAGATTCAAAAAGAAGTAATATCGTGTCTAAATTTAATATGTTCCTAATAAGTTACTACTTTTTTTTTTTAACCCGGATACGATAGTTTTCTTATTGTAACTCAGGAATCATTACGGATGAGCATGTTACCTTAATATATACTCTTTGCCTACACATTTAGATTATATGTGAGTCTATGACTGTGTGTGTGTGTGTGTGTGGGTGTGTGTGTGTGTGTGTGTGTGTGTGTGTGTGTGGGTGTGTATGTGTGTGTGTTTTCATCACTTTTACTCTTGGAGTGTATTGCTCTCATAAGGTTGAGTGTTACATGAGAAATTAGAACTAATGACTTTCTTTCTTACATATTTATAACTTCTATCCCCAACTGGGTTCTCAATGAAACCAGATATTAAACCTTTTTTCATCCTCAGTCAACTGCTTTTTTTATTCTCAGAGAAGTAGTGACAAATCTCTATTTCATTACTTTCTTTATTTCACCACTTTTCTGCCAACCTCACTTGCTCTCAGTAGATAACAGTAGATATCTCATATCCTTACTGTTCTGAGGAAGAGGAAGTCTCCAAGCATGAATGGCCATAAATTACAAATTCTTTACATAAATGGTACCAAAGTGGCAGCTAATGTTCGTTTTCATTACACGTTGTCTTTTTTTTTTTCTATACCTCCAAATGGAGTGGTTCGTATCCAATGTGCCATAGTCTTTGCCTCTGTGACACCAGATCTGTTTCACTCATTTCTATCTTCTTCTTGGCCCAAGTAGGTTCCTACAATTGACATCTCTGTTAGTACAAGCCCATACCTCTCATTCTCCATCAATAGGCACCTACCTAAGAGGAATACATATGGAAGAGTGAAGCACCTGTCTATAAGGGCTTCTGTTCCATTTGAAATATTGTGTTTCACAAAACCCCTTGCTTACCACTTATCTTTACCAGTTCTCTCTCAGTCTATCCTTGTTTCTCTTTCCCAGCAGTCTAGATACTTACTTATATATCCTTATCTTAAAAAGAGAACTCTAACTCTCTGTGAAGATAGTGCTCATTCTTTCTCTTCTACCCACCCCCTATGACTTCTTTCACCAACTTCTAGAAACTTCATAGTTTTCATTGGCACAATATACATATTTTTATTTCATTGTAAAAACATTTTTTCACACTTTTAGGTATTAGAGGATATAGTAAAAAAAGTAGGAAATGCAAGTTTCTCTCTCAAAATTTACCATAAAAATTCTCAAACATGTTATAATGAACTAAGTATATTCTCAACCTACATTCAATAATCACTATTATTTCACCATAATTTCATTATATATGCATGTATAACTGTATGTATGCATGTGTATACAAATATACAATATATATATTCTACATATATTATACATATATATTTTATTGAGCTGGGACTTATGAAAGTAAGCTGCACATTGACTGACACTACATTATTATTATTATTATTATTATTTCATTTTAAAGTTGTAGAGTACAATTCAGGATTAGGTATATAAGTGGTCATCGTACAGGTAAAGTTGGGCCTCTCTTTGGTCCCCACTTTGCCTGGTTTAAGATCAGGTACCCTTATTGATGTTGTGTCCCCCGACACCCCCCACCTGACACTATATTCTTAAATCCTTCAGCGGGCTTCCTCTAAGGACAATTCTTTACATGATAACATTACTATACTCACATCACCTAAGAAAATTAGCAATAATTCAATAATATCAAGTGATAATTCTCTGTATTCAAATGTCTACAATTATCCCTAAAATGCCTTTAGATGTGTTTTTTGTTTATTTATATATCTTTGGTGGTAAAAGTGAGAAAGGAGTAGAATTTACTTGAGGCTATTGCATTGCATTTAACTTTCATTCTGAACCGTTTAGATAACCACAATTTTTTCACTTGACTTTTCAATGTCTTTATCTCTACAGACATTAGGCAGAGTAGGCACACACTCTCCCAAACTAGAAGGCATCTATGATTCATGCTCTGGAGGCTGCTTGAAAGGAGTCTTGTTTTGGATGCTTGAGAGTTTCCCGGGTCCATGCCTTAGGATAGGCTAAGGAACCATAGGATAAGACACCTGATCTGAATTTAAGGGAGAGCAAATGTTTATATATTTTTTCTAAGGATGGAAGGACTATATTCATGTTTTGCAATGTTTATTTGGACTTTAGCTTCAATCTGAAATTGACAAAGAAAGAGAGTTCAGCAAACAGCTTTGGAGTGTCCCAGATAGAAATTAGCACAAACATTTTGGCCACCACCTATTGTTCTAGGTGTTATGCAGTCTTACTTGGACTCAGAAGTCAAGAATACTACTGAAATCAGAAAGTTTTCAATGGAAGCTCTACAAAACTTATTGTACATGCATCTTCAAAACAACAGCAATTATTTCCGTGGAATTCTCCTGTCAATGGGATACTTGACCAGAATTCATATTCCTAGAATTCATTACTTCCTTTGGCTAGAAACCTTAACTGCAGTATTGGCTGCTTGTTCTGATGAAATTTTACCTTCTAAATAGAGTTGTATTGCTGGATATCTTAATTTTCTTTGGTGATATCCTAGACCTCTTCTTCTGTGCTACTTTTGGGTGCACTGAATTCATCTAGCCCATATCTATTCTGCATGGCTGTGGAGGTGTCTGAGGTTTTACCTTCCTCAGATGTAGCCATTTATTCTTTTAGTCCACCCTGTCTTCCTGGATTTCTTCTGGGCAATGAAATAAAATAATATTTATGTTATCAGATTTTTCATAGCCATCTTGGTGGTCTACAGTACCCAGATCCTGCCTCACATAGCTTATGTCTGGGGAGGAGAATGGGATATACTGACCGTCCTCTCTTTTTTCAGGAACACACACATTTCTAAGCACGTGGAGCTTCCCATCCAATTTTCTTGTTCCCCCTATCACCATGGGAAGTCTTTAGTGTTTTTTGTGTGACTTGTCAAAATTTTCAAATGTATGTTTTATGATCTAAGTTCCATAGAATGCAGGCTTTTGGAATTCAGTAATGTTTCCTCTGTGTCTTGCCCCCCTCTCCCAAACACAGACACCTTCTCAGCAAGACTCAATAAGGGACTGGTGGTGGTAGCTAATTGAAAATACAGTCATGAATACCAGCACACGTGTATTTAATCTTATCTTTGAAACAAATTACTCTCAACTAAGAATCTTGCAACACTTTTAATTATATTTTTAATTTTTACTAATATTAATGGAATATATATATTTAAATCTCCAAAGTATCACAAAATAAAATCAACACGAAAAGCTATGTCTACGTCCAAAAGATACTGAGTATTGTTAGGAAGGAATAAAAGTTAGACTGGAAAATTAAAAGTGGGATGGTTCAAGGGGCAAATTTAAAAATGTATGGGAATTGTTTATGGAAGCCAATGAAACTTGGAGATGAGCTTTCCTCCCAAAATAAGAGTAATACATTAATGTTGTAGAGAGGTCTATGAAGATGGCCAGGAATATTGATCAGCGTACTTTGAGTAGAAAAAGTTGTATTTTGAATAAATAATTTTGCAATTGAACCCACTCTGCATTAGAGCATTCCTTATTTAACAAAAAGTTGTTCACTTATTTAAGTCAAAGAGGCAGGAAATTGTGCATAGGAAATGCTTTAATGAATTCATTTATTCCACAGGTGTATAGCAATGTAAGAACCTTCATTGATATTTTGCTTTCAGTTTGATTTTTTTTTCAGTTTTAATATGAACTTCTCTTTTTCAGCAGACTCTGCCCACTTCAGGAGTGTCAGTTCCTGAGGTGCGTAAGCAAAAAAAAAGGTTTTCACAATTATAATTATAGGTCATTATATATATTGTTATAAGGAACATTTGGGGCTGGCTCAGTGACCTACTAAAGTGAATTTTTCAGTGATGGGGTAGACTGGAAGAATTTCCAATTGACAAGCATTAGGAAAATAGGCAATTATATGACCCAAAATATGTAGAGAAAAATAAAGTATACTTTGCAAAGATTTTGACCAATGTGTAAAAATATGTCATTTCTATTTGTCATATTAAAATGTAAACACATTTCAGAAGCTCTAAAACAATTTATTCTTTGAGCCATCAAAAGTTAATGGTAATATGTTGAGAGACTCTTGCTCACTTTGAAGTGTCTATCACTTTTAAGAGTCCAACAACATTAATCATGTATCACATGTCATTGTATAGAAAGTCTTTGGAATAAAATATAGTCACAGAACAAATGACTTTTATTTTGAAAATAAATGTAAGCATTGCCACATTTATTTTCAATAAAGTGGTAGCTTTACCTTTGCATTAGCGGAACAAAGCTTCTCTATTTTGCTGTGACAATATTCTATTCAATTGTTATTATCTCTATAGAAAATGCCCAAATAGTATTGCTTCCCTTAAAATTATAATTTCAATCATCTTTGGAAAATATGATAGCATATTAGAACAAAAGTTTAGTAATCACTCTCTACTCCCCACCTAAAAATAGTTTTCTAATCAGTGTAAACTGCATCATTGGATTACATAGTCTAATTTTTTTAGCCAGAGATATACCTGAAAATACAGTTGAAGATATGCTTGAAATATAATGTTTGTAATCCAAGGAAATATTAAACTGGATTTGTAATCTTTAAGTGAGTTGATACCTTTCTTATAAAAATTATTATGAAATAGAGATGTTAAATCACACACTCAAGTGCCACAACTATTAGAACAGTTTATTATTTCATCAAATTACTAAAATGTGAGAGAATTATTATTATTATTTGAGTTGGAGTCTCACTCTGTCACCCAGACTGAGTGCAGTGGCCGCTGCTGGCCACCACAGCCTCAACCTACTGGGCTCAGGCGATCCTTCCGCCTCAGCCTTCCAAGTAGCCGGAACTACACGCACGTGCTTCCACGCCCGGCTAATTTTTGATTTATTGTAGAGACGAGGTCTCGCCAAGTTGCCTGGGTGTGTCTTGAATCCGTGGGCTCTGGCATTCCACTCGCCTTGACCTCCCAAAGTGCTGGGATTACAGGCTGAGCCACTGAGCACGGCTGAGAATTATTTTTGTCTTCAGATTATTGAGTTTGTTTTTTCTCATTTTTAGGCCCATTGAGTGAATATAGGTACTACATTTGAGATTTAAAGTTTTCTCTTTAAATTTGTTAATTTCCCAATGTTTCCTATACTTAACTGTTTAATTTGTATCATATATAAATAAATCAAAATTTTTGTTTTCATAATTTGTTTTCATTTTTAGAAAAAAATATTTTTTCAGATAAGGTTTCAAAAGTCTTTCTACTCTACTTTTTTTTCTTCTTCTGGCAATATATATTGGTTTACATTAACGTAAACATTCCACTATCCCTCAAAATCTCTGTATGTGTTTTTTCAACTCTCTTGCGCCAAAAATTTCCTTAATCCCATGTATGAATACATGCATGAGTGAGTGTGTGAATACACACACACACACACACAAAACCTTATGTTCTACCAGCAGGAACAGTTGCTCCTTGGGTAACTGAAAATATGATTAAAGTACATGTGGGAGAACATATAGAAAGATATGTACATGCATTAAACATTTAACTTAAAATATGTAAATATGTATTCAATGCTTATACTTTTTGAGGTAGAATTAAGGGCTTTTCTATGAGGACACATTCTCATTGGAAATGGTATAAAGTCTTTCTTGCATATATCACAGTCTTATCACCCATAATGATAAATTTCAATGGTTTTGAAGTATCACAAAAACTTAAGGACCTGTGTGAGACACTTTGAGTGTAAAAATGCTATCTAGTTTTGCTATTAATTCCCAAAGCTTTCACAGTTGTTGTGCCTAAACTTGACTGTTCCTCATACGCTCACCCCCTAGCCAATGTGCATGTGCACGCACACACACACACACACACACGCACACACACACACCTTGTATTATTGTGTCTTTCTAACATATGCCAGCTATTTTTTTCATGGAAACGCCTCTTTTATTTTGCACAGACATTCAATGATTTGAGTAATTATTAAATTGCACAGTCACAATAACCAGATAACAAGTTTTATTTGAAATTGGCATAAGCAGTTTGGGAACTACTTAGAAATCAGTATGTTGAGCATTTAGCCTAACTGGTAGAAAGACACTATGAGTGTGAGCCTATAAGAGAGCTGACTCCTGTCTTTCAACCTTCAGCTTACTCTGGCCAACAATCCGCATGGTTTCCCAAGAGAATAGAGAGTGAGTGAAGCTGGAGTTGGTTAAAGAGTTGGCTTTTATATATACTCACGTGTATGAATAGAGTTTAGATGTATGTATATTGTATTTATACACACACATACTGTTTCATACCGATGCTGCCATAGATTAGTACATAGCCAAATCTAAATGGTCGTGGCACAGAACTTCTTACTCTTAAATTTCATTCCCCTCATCAGAATTTCTTTAACAGCAATTTTGTCAGTGGTTTACACTCAGTATGAAGTTCTCCTAGGAGAATATTTGCACTTCCTGGGTGATGGGTGAATACCAGGAAGAAAGTGTTCCTTCAAATTTAGGAAGCAAGTAGCACTACCAGGTACTTTAAGAACAGGTTTCATTTTGTTTCCTTTGTGAACTCTCATTTTCCCAAAGACACTGCCCAAGTCTTTACAATTACTCCCAGTTATGGTGACTTAGTGGGCAAAGAAAGTACAATATAGTAGATAATGTTCTTCTTATCACACCCAGCATTTACTACCATGAGGAAGCTTATTCCTGTGATGAACTTAATAATAAAATACAAGAATATTCTTTATACCTTAAAATCTTTAAAATTATACTTTAAAACCATTTAAAGAGTGCTTATTTTATGCCGGTACCTTTATTGAATTTCTCAATTTCTCTTCACATGAACTTTCCTGTTTTATAGGTGAAATAAATGGTAACAGTGATGGCAAATACCTTACCTAAGCTGACACAGAAATAAGTCACTAACCTGGGATTTTGCCTCCTAAACCCATAGATTCACCCTTACCCAAAGTTGTTTTTGTTTTTTTAATAAGTATTTACTTAACAACATTATAATAAGTACTTATATTTAAAATTAGCACTTACTTAACTCCATTTCAAATAAATGGAAATTTTTAGACTTTATAATATATAATTTATTATTTTTACATTCAAAACTTTATGAGATGCTTCTTTAAAAAATTAAGAATATTTTGCTAGTCAGCAATGAGTTTTACTGCAACATAAAGGTTTACTTGTATGGCCTCATCATTTTCTGGAGCCTTTGCCATTTTAAAAACTTTGTTTCCCTCAGCTGGTAAAATGTTCAAATCCTGAAATAAGCCCACACAAATTGAAGGTGCAGCTTCGCAGCTGTAGGTTGGTTTCTCAGAGCTCTGAACCCGCATAAGCCCTGTTATTGTGGTAACACTTCTGCATCAGAGTGCTCTTAAGTACTTTGAATATATATGTAGGACCTTGGGTTAAAATTCTAGGGCTCTGGGGAATTCGTGTGGCCTGGCTCCAATGACAGGAAGGGTTGAGGCTCCATTCAGGTGACTCGTAAGTACCAGCAGGGAAAGCAAGTTCTAGAATTCCAGTGATGGATGCTGTGGGCAGCAAGTCACTTGCCTTTGTAGCTTTGTACCAATGGAGGCATTTTGCTGCTGCTGGCCTCTCATGCTGAGATGGGACAAAAAGAAGAAAACCCTGTCTTGAGGTAATCATCACTTGCTGCTTATAGTTTGCCAGCGATCGATAACAGCAGGCTTAAGTATTATAGTAAACAACCTTTTTGTAAAAGCAGTTTTCACCAATGTACAAATACTCTGTCTCTGAGAATCAGCATGATATAGAAAAAAAGATTTATTTTTTAAGAGCACATATTGAAAGTGAGGTATTTTTATTTCATTTATTTCATCTTTCTGTTTTCTGCAAATGGTCTTTTTGGCTTTTCTTCTCTGTTTATGATGATGATTGTTCTTTTGGAATTCGAATACAATGTATTCCCCAGTTAAGATCTGTTGTGCTGTTTGTGGAGTCCAAGATCACAAAACAATGACTTCTATATCGAAAATGTCCACATAGTAAACACAAATGGTTGATATTTGAAAATGCTCAAATATCAATAACTATTTTATATTTTGTAGTTATATGTTGTATATTCTTTTATGATTTTTTTTTTTGGTTAGAATGGCTCTTTTCAGTGTTTAAATGATTTCTATTGATTAAAGCAATAATTTTTCCAACTCTTTGTATATCTTGGACAATTTATCTGGTAGAAGGAAATTTGCCTTAATTATAACACTTTAATTTATTTTGTGGCTTAAAGCTCAAAAACTTAAAGAAAAAAACTGAAGGTTAAGTGGTGAACACTGCCCCCTATTATCAGAAGTAATTTTATCCTGAATGGTGGTACAACATGATTGGTGAGCTCTTTCTGAAACTTAACTATAACTTCACCATTGAGAATTAACTCTCTTAAATATTATAATACAGCTCTGCCAATCAGGGTCAATTAACATCCAAAACAGGCTATTGGAACCTGGTGGACAACAGATTTGTTGTCAAGGATGCAATTGCTTCCTCCTTCCTGTCCCTCACACCAAAAAGAGAGAAGCAAAGATTTTCTGAGTGGAAATAAAAGAATGTATCCAACTACTCTCCCGTTAGCTTATGCTGCTTAAACAAAACATAGTGAATAACTCAGGGAGACGTCTATACAAATTGTAAATAAATATAAAACAAATGAGTATAATAACAAGAAAACCCTCGGGAGAATTAAATGGTTATGAGTCTCTCCTGTTTTTAAATTTTCAGCCTTGATTAATTCCACACAGTAGCATTTTTCTCCAAAGAGATCACTTGGTTTTCTTGATGTGTGTGTGTGTGTGTGTGTGTGTGTGTGTGTGTGTGTATTTCAATGAATGTTTACCATTTTAGCATTAGCTAGATACTATAATAAAATATACATATAGATAAATATACTGAGGATTTTAAAAATTAACTTGTTATATTCTTGTTTCTCATAATTCTAGATTTCATAAATGAAATCTCATCAATTGAAAATTCAATTTAGGGTTTTAAAATTTGTATTGTATACCATTGTTTATTGTAAAGCATTTATTTAGTCTTTCTGCTCAGCTTATTCAGGGGTTGACTCCCTCTTCAAGGGACTCAAAGACATTTAATAACTGCTGTCTCTGCCAGTTGGAGTTTCTTACCAACCACACAGGAATTTCTCTAGCTATATGCATGGCCAAGAATAAAACGTTAATAGATGACTTGATGGCTCTTTAGAGATATGCTCACATGTCTTAAATTTTCAGTAATACTTAAATATATAATCTGGAACAAACACCTAGTTCCATGTGACTAACCACATTCAATTTTATGTAATTCTATTTTATAAATGAATGTTAAACACTTGTTGGATAATATGCCAGAATAATTGTATTAAGATGTAACTTTCCTATTGTAGATTTTTACAAAATCTTGATTCCATGTTTTACACACCTGGAGGCAAGAGCTCTAAAATAAATTCTTTCCTAAAATAAATTACTCACCAATAGCGTTAAGTTATTGAATGGCTAATACAAGTGATGCATTTTCATATATAAGCATTGAACTTCACTTATTTAAACATATGCCTAACGCAACTAGTGAAAATGTCTTCATGCATATGTATATATGCTCACATATTTGGAAATATAATAATCACTTTGCATAATGGCAACATTGAAGAGAACTCTATTAGAAAACTGCACCTGTTTTATATCATTCATAATAACTATCATTTATTGAGTATATACTCTAATACAGGCACAATGTTAAGAACTTTGTGCATTTTCTATTAAACCTTGCACAGCCCTGAAAAATCACGGTCTCCATTTTCCAAAAGAGTAAGCAGTCAAAGGTTACATAATATTTAAATAGTGGACATAAGATTCAAGTCAGGTATTCTAATTTCAAACCTTATCCTATAATTCACTCTTCTTATACTTTATACCATTTTACTGTTTAAGGACAAAATTGTAATTTGAAAACTTAAAAAGAATGAGCTTTCTCTTTAAAAATCAATATTTTTGCCAGAAATTGTATAAAAGTACATCATTTTTCAAATTACTTGAATTTCAGGAATCCTATTACACTATCCATTTTCAGTTACACACAAGATATATTCAGTGTTTTTGCACCACGGAATTGCAAGGTAAATGGACTCTACTGATTAACATTTATTTTAGTCATAGAGGATTTCTGGTTGGCCTAGCCCTAATATATTTGAAAAGAGCTTTACTTCCAAAGCTACTTAAAAATATCTTTCTAGGCATAAATTGAATGTTTCATAGCAGAGTAGGATGACTGTACTTAAAAAATGTACTTGAATGATGGACACCCTAAATACCCTGAGTTGATCATTATGCATTAAATATATGTCAAAAATTCTCATGAACCCTATACATTTGCACAATTCTAAAAAAATTTTCTAAATTAAAGAAATTGAAACGTTACTCTAGCAAGCAAATATAGGCACTAGTGTGTGTGTGTGTGTGTGTGTGTGTGTATATATATATATATATATATATATATATATATATATATATCTGAATAAGCACAGGATATATGTGCACTAAAGTATTTAAGCATCTGTGCCAGACATGGCTAATCAATTAGGGCAATTTTCTCATCAAGCCTAGACACGGCCCAGCAATCTTTCCCAACACTATGCTTCAGACAATAAAAAAAAATTTTTTTTAATGTTGTTTCATTTATTTATCCTGACTTTTGTCAGGCACTGCTCTAGAATCTGATATAGACCATTGAAACAAAGACAGTCCCTTATCTTGTGAAACTTTAATTAAAATGGGAAACACTGACATTAAACAAATCAGACAAAACATATTTTAGGTTGTAATAAATGATAATTAAAAAGGAGGCTAAAAGAACGAGAGAAACCTTTCTGATATTTGAGAATCAAAGTGAGAAGCACACCCAACAAATATACAGGGACAAAAGTTTTCCAGCAGGGTACAGAGTAATTACAAAAGCTCTGAACTAAAAGCTATGCTTATTGTGATCCAGGAACAATAAGGTGCAGCTAGAGTGGAGTAAAAAAGGAATAAAGAGATGAGTGTGGCTGTTGTGAAGAGTACTGAGTGGAGATAGACAAAAATGGAAGTAGATTGCTCCATTTGGTGATGGTTTCAGTCATCCAAGTGAAAAAGATAATGTCTGCTTAAACCATGTAATGATTCAGTTAGGGTGTAGTCGTGCAGTTTGGGATTTGTTTTTAAGGAGGAAAGGGCTAGGCAGGAGATTAAAAAAAATTATTTTTGAACATTTTAGGATTGTGTGTTTTAGATACGTGTGGAAATTTAGAAAAGGCATTTGTATATAGGAATTAAGGTTTAAGGGTGAGATCAGATCAGGAATTATATATTTATAAGTCTTCAAAAATATGAAATTGGAAATTTTAGGGATGCATAAAGTTACCTGGGTAATGAGTAGAGATAGGAAGATGAGAGGCCCAAGAAAGAGACCCAGTCTTACAGATTGTAAAGCTGGAGAAGGAATGAGAGAGTGAGACTGTGAGCGAGCAGTTGTGAAGTAAGAAGAGAGCTGACAAAGTGTCCTGGAAGCCGTGGATGGCAAGTTTTCAAGAAGCAAGAAGAGATTAGTTCTATCAAATGCTGCTAAAAGGTTTGATAACATGAAGATTGCCCATTAGATGAAGCAAAGACAAGGTTATTGGTGATTTTAATAAAAGCTAATTTGGTAGAATGGTGATGGTAAAAGTCAATTGGGTTGTGTTGAAGAGAGTGAGAAAAGAGGAAATAAGCATGAGGAATAGACAGCTCCTAAAATAAAGATTTTTTCCATATAAGTAACAAAAGAATTACCTGAGATGGAATGTCATTTTTAAGTTATATGCTATTCCTGATATAAACAGTAGCTTAAAAGTCCATCATGCAGTTAGAACTCATTTTCAATATTGTATGTATTTATAAGCATTCTTTTTGGTACTCAGTACCAAATTCCTTAAATTACATTTCAATACTTTTTATCTGTATAATTGCTTATAAAAATAATCAGCTTTAGTAATCTTTCATCACTTTTTGATGAAGAGTCATAATTGGGCACATAGGGATAATACAATATCATTTTGTTTCACATTGTTTCTTTAACTAATATTTTGGTCATGAAACTGTCATATATTGAGCCAACTGAAAGCAACAGCTTCCATATCATTCTCTAGAAACTTCAAATTAGGAAGTTGGGCCTAAGTCTGTAACTATGAAATTGTCCTATTAGTTGTCCCTTTTAGTAAAATAACTCAAGATGTTTTAATGTTCTGCTTTAAATGTTAATTTTATACTTTTTTTTATAAATTGTTTTTCTTTACAGGAAAGACAGTCAACAGTGAAAAAAGAGAAGAGTGGTTCCCAGCAGCCAAATAAAGTCACCGACAGGAACAAAATGCAAAGAGCCAACTCTGTTACTGTGGATGGACAAGGTCTACAGGTATATTTTTAAATCGAAATTTCAGTACTTTCTTAATTGTTACTTCTAGGCTCCCAAAGGGGCATGTGTTCAGCAATCAACACATTTGTTTAATGTGCATATTAGCTCAGAAGACTGCTTCAGAAATATCTTTATCAAGATGTCAGTCTTTATAGTTGATTGACAAAATGACATTCTGACTAGATTAATCATTTATGATGTCTCTCCATTTAAACTCAAATTGGCAAGAGATCTTTTGTTAATCTGAAAGATTTCACAAATTACTACTAAATATACACATTTATTAGCTACATATGTGTTACTTATTTACAGCTATACTTTCTCTCTATAGGTATATGTTTAATATGGTTATGATTTTGAAGAGTCATTTTGATAGCAAAAATATGTCTTTAGGAAAGAAAGAAATGAACTGTATTTGTGTGAATACTTTTTTCTAAATGAATAATAAAAATAAAGAATTCATTATGATTTATCCATGTCTTCCAATGTTTTAAGTAAAAATCCACATCCCCAAAATATTGCTAGTTTAAGTAAACATAGGTAGTTAAAATCATTTTTAACACTTTTAAAATCTATAAATTATTCTCCTGGTTTCTGAATTCAAGAATAACAGTTTTCCACTTGCTTTGTAAGATATTTTATAGCTGAATGTATTACATTTATTTACTTCTGTTTATTTTCTTTTCAGGAAAAGTCAATAAAGTTAGCTTAATTTATAAAATTATAGACTTTAATTTTGTTTTTGTAACTATGTTTCTGTCTTCCAATTGCCTATTTTTTTTTTTTTTTTTTTGAGTTGGAGTCTCACTCTGTCGCCCAGACTGGAGTGCAGTGGCCGCTCCCGGCACCACAGCCTCGACCTGCTGGGCCCCAGCGATCCTTCCTCCTCAGCCTTCCGAGTAGCTGGAATTACAGGCATGCGCTACCACGCCCGGCTGATTTTTTTGATTTATTGTAGAGATGAGGTCTCGCCAAATTGCCCAGGCGGGTCTCGAACCCGAGGGCTCAGGCAATCCACTCACCTCAGCCTCCCAAAGCACGGGATTACAGACTGAGCCACTGAGCCCAGCTGCCTATTTCTTTTCTTAAGAATATGCTTGAAGTTTCATGCTCTTCAGGAAAATTGACCAACAACTTAACATACAGATATTGTGTCACACACTTGAATTCAATATACATGATTTTGTATCTTCTTTTTTTCATTTATTATCTGTGATACTGTGAACTATGTCTTTTATATTCTTTAATTTGCAATCACACAGTTCAGGGCACACAGCAGATACTTAAATGCTTGTTTCTTCATTGTCTTGAATATCTCACTGAAAATTTAATAATAATTAAATATTGGTAACTAAATAATTGGTTTTGATCCTAAAATACCTGTTATGTATAGAAAACCTTTAATGAATTATTAAACTCAATATAAAAAGGGCAAATTCTGAGTAATAAAATTATTAGATTCATTAGTATATAGTTTTATTATAAAAAGAGTAGGATACACTTTTTGGAAGTCATACCTGTATGTTTAGCAATTTTATGAAAGGTCTGAAATATGAAATCTATCCACAATTTTGATAGCTAAAAATTCACAAATTAAGTGATTCTGTAACATTTTTATTGAAAAAATTGACATTTTAGTTTCACACATGGATTGCAAATATAGGTCAATTGAAGTCTAGTAACTCTGGGATTCTGCAATAAAATTAATGAAAGAGAGACCTAATTCTGAAATCCAATTGTATTTCACACGTGGCTAGGCACATGTTTCTCATCATGGAAGGGAAGCATGTGCCATTTAAGTAGTATAACCTAAGCACTATGAAAACATTTTATACATTTTAACCTGTTTAATTCTCTCAATAAACATGAGATCAATATTATTATTATTATCACAATTTTCAAATTTATACCGATGCTCAGAAGTAAGGTAGCTTCCCCAAGAATACACAGTCAGAGGTGGAGTCAAGGTTTGAATGAGGACCCTCTGATTCAGAATTTATATTTTATTCCTAAGACCCTGTCTCTTTGCTTGCAAATCAACATGTATACAACTGCTAAATTTCCAACCATCTTTTTCTTCCATGTACTTTTATATTCTAGACTTTTAGGTAAAAATTATACAATAGAATTTTAACTCCTCTAGATTCAGTTTTCTAAGATTTGCATAATTATACCTTAATTTACCTAGACACCAAAACCAAAATTAAATGGTACATGCAGAATGTTTTAAAAACTTTCAACTTACATAACAATATAAGTTCTATTCAATTTTTATTCAAAAAGAATCTGAAATATTTGATCTTATTACAACTAAATTAGTCATATTAAAAACTATAGATGATTAACATTCTCTGTGGATGTGCCATTTCTCTAACCAGTTAATAACTTTTCATAACTTTATTAGGCCTATAAAAGTGTCAGCTAATGTTGTTAGTAGGTGAAGGACAGATATAATCGCTAACAAAACATCAGTGGGAACAAATATATAATAATTGTAGTCATAACTTTTTGAATTAAAAAAAATTGGAATATAATCATACACAAAAGTGTTTCACTTCAGCATGATGGACCAAAATATGATACACATAGTATTCACATATTGTTATAGAAAATGTAAAAAGAGAAAAGAATAATTTCCTGAAGAGCTAAAAATAAATAGGATTTGTGTGTTGTAGTTATTCATTTAAAAATAGTAATGTTTTTTAATCAGGAAAAGCTAAAAAACTATCAAAAAAATTAATATTTTTCAGTGAGTTTTAAAAATATGCATCATGAAAAAGCATTGAGTTGCAGCCCAGCTTGCATATAATTCAGTGACAGAAAAGATCTACGCTGCTTAAAGAAGACTATTAATCATAGTTAAGCACATTCATCTTATTTCTTTCCAGCTAACCAGCATAATGATCAGGATTATTATTTCTAATTAGAGGAAGTAATAGATCATGTATAACCTTAGGATGAGTCTCATTAATTAACCCAAGTCCTAGGGGACTTCAAATGAAGGTGGTTAGGCACTCTGTCTTTGTCATTGCTCACACCATAGGTTTACACTTAATACATATGATCAAACGTAATTGAAACTACAATTTCTTAGCATGCAAGAGATAGAAAACTACAGATGACTCTCCCACATGTGAACAAATAAGGACAAAAACAGAACAATTGTTTAAACTGTATTAGGTTGATGTTATCTTGTCCCTAAATATTCTTTGAGAAAGATTTCCAAATAAAGGGGTCACTTGAGAACTAAAGAGTTTAGTTTATAATACTTATAACACAGTAAAAAGGGGGGATTCTTGTATTTAAATATCTAAAAGTGAAACAGTGTATTTCCCCACACAACTGTCTCTACTATTGTCTCCCTTACTGTCAATATCTTGTTCTTGTAATCACCAAACTTATAAATTAAACATACTTGCACTATACTAACTGTATAGTATATATTCAAAATTAATTTCTAGGGCCTGGCTTGGTGGCACAATTCTATAATCACAGCACTATAGGAGGCAAGAGAATTGTTTAAGCCCAGGAGGTCAAGACTAGCCTAAGCAACATAGTGACACCTCCTCTCTACAAAAAAAGTTTTTAAAAATTAGCCAGGTAGATGGCATATGTCTGTCATACTAGTTACTTGAGAGGTTAAGGCAGAAAGATCTACTGAGCGCAAGAGGTAGAGGCTGGGATGAGTTGTGATTGTGATGCTGCACTCTGGCCTGGGTGACAGAGTGAGATTCCAACAAAAAATTGAAAGTAATTTCCTTTTTTGATTGATGTGTATGTACTTTGACCATTTAAGAATTGTCAAGCCTATTGACATTTTTGTAACAACTCTTCATTGTTATTCTAACTCTCTAAATTCAGAATTATTTCTCTCTAGTCTTGAGTATTACAAGAGTCTTTAAAATTAGTCTCTGGCTCCATATGCATAATGTGATAGATAATAAATGATATAGAAAATTGAACCAAGTAAGATAAGAGTATCAGAATGTACTAAGAATTGGAGTTTTCTATAATTTTAAGCAAAATGGCCAGATTAGGGCAAGCGAGACCTCATCTCTACAATAAAATCAAAAAAGCAACTGGGCGTGGTAGCGCGCACCTGTAATTTCGGCTACTCGGAAGGCTGAGGCCGAAGGATCGCCGGAGCCCAGCAGGTCGAGGCTGCGGTGGCTGGGAGCGGCCACTGCACTCCAGTCTGGGCGGCAGAATGAGACTCCAATTCAAGAAAGAAAAAAAAAAGAAGTAGATATTTGGGTAAAGACTTAGAAGAGGTGAGTCAGTTGTCCAAGTGAATATATGGACAGCCCTATGGCAAGTGTATGCCTGGAAAATCTGGAATCAATAAGAACTTCACGTTTTGAGTAGGACGAGCAAGATGGAAAGTGGTAGAGAGTACTTTAGGGAAGTGGCAGGTTCTAGATGCTATAAAACCTTGAAGACCTGAACAAAGACTGACTTTTGATCTGAGAGAAATGAGAAGATATTGGTGGAAGGGATAAGCAGAGGAGTAACATGACTTGAATTATGTTTTAAAAAACTCCTGCTTCTTGAGATTAGAGTGTTGGAGAGCAGAGAGGCCAGTAGATAACTACACAGTTATCCAAGGGTTATAAGATAGAGGCTACTTAAGATGGAGCAGTGGAGGTAGAGAGATGTGATGATATTCTACATATATTTTGAGGACAGAGTCAAAGGGATATGTTGGTAAAGTGGATTTGGATTTGGGTAGGTAAAAACATGAGGAGTCAGGGATAACTCCAAGCTAGATTGGCCCACGAAACTGAAATGAGGGAGTTACCTTGACTAAAATATAGAGAGTCTGGGTAGATAATGTTTGGAGGGAAATTTCTGATGCTGTTATATATCCAAATGGAGATATCAAGGAGGCAGAGCAATTTATGAATCTAGGATTCAGGAGAAAGACTCGACATGCATTTGGGAATAAAGGCAGTGATGACAATTAAAACCATCAAATCAGATGAGATCACTAAGAGAGAGGG